AGGGATCGAACCCAGGACCCTTCAGCCTGCAGGCCAACGCTCTATCCACTGAGCCAAACCGGCTGGGGCGGGTTGTGGGTTTAATTCCCAGCCTAGGGCACATACCTAGGTTTTTACTAGAGGCCCAGTGCATGAATTTGTGCACGGGTGGGGGGTCCCTCAGCCTGGCCGGCGATTGGGGCCATCGGGGTGATGGGGGCTAGTTGCTGGGGAGGGACTGCAGGTTCCTCCTGTGCCCAACTTTCAGGAGGCAACCAATCAATGTTTCTCTCTCTCTCACCCCCTCCTCCAAAATAAATAAATAAATAAAATAAAATAAAATATTCAGACTTTATTATTCTAATTGTTACCACTTATTTAGCCCCCTGTGAGGTGGGCACTGTGCAAAGTAAACAAATTTAATGTGCTGATCACACATTATTGAACCCTTACAATAACCCTATTAGGTACATATTGCTATACCCATTTCACAGATTGGGAAGTTGAGACTATAAAAGGCCCGAGGCCCGAGAGGGAAGGTTGTTCAAAGGGGCCCAAATGGGAAATGCCGACTTCAACAGACACAGAGCAGTTGGCCGACGACTTCCCTACAAAACCTCAAAGCGCAGGCGCGGATCTGCTCAGTCGAGAGTTAGAGTCAATTCTACGAACACTTAAGGAGCGACTGCTCCGTGCCAAGCCGTGTGCTAAGCGCTCTCGCATGGAGTCTCTCCCCAGGCTCACGCCACACGCGTGTTATGCTCACAGCAGGGCGACCACACACGCCGTTTCGGCTGGCAGTGCCACATCCCACTAAGTCTACCTCAGTCCTGGGCACAGCGGAGCGACTGGCCCCGCCCCCAGGTTACAGAGACTGGACCTTAAAACGTAAGTAAACCACGAAGAAAAACGGTATCTCATTAGCATTCTACCCTTATTCCCCACTTACTGCTAATGTGACATCATTCTCTTCCAAAGGTAAAATAATTATTCAAATGCTCAAACACCCCCATAGATACTGGACTTTCGCTCCTTCTCTTAACTCTGCCCTTCAACCTGTGGGCTCCAGACTCCACGGGGCTGAGTATGGTGAGTTATGGGGCGCGTCGCGGGCTCTCCCCAGGGGACTTTAACAGCCCGATGACGGGGCTCGTGCCCGAGGTGACACTGATGATGATAAGACAGCCACCGAGGCCGGAGCTCGCATCTGAGGCGGCCTGTGCGTGCCTGGCACTGTTCCAAGCGGTTTACAGACACTCCTTCCTGTCGGCCTACAGCCACCCTTTGTGGTGGCTGCTCCCATCAGCCCAGTTTACGGAGGGGAACACAAGGACGCAGAGAGTTGAGTGTTTTTCTGCAGGACACGCAGCTAGAACCCGACTGAGGTTCCCCGCCCGGATCAAACGCTGCAGAACGGCAGCGGGGAAGCTCAAACCCATCTAACCCCAAAGCCACACGCTCAGCCACGCTGCTCAGGAGGGCACGCATTTCATCCGAGAGGCCAGACCCCGCGGGCGGGGGGTGGCACAACACCGGGCGAAGGACCCCCAAGTGCACTGGGGCCGTGAGGGCAGTTTGCTGTCCTGGGAAGATCACACTGATCCACCCCCAGATGCCTTCACCCGCGAGCACCGTTTCTGCCTGGTGCTCTCTGGAGCTGAGACGGCAGCCCGCACCCCCCTCTGACGAGTGTAGGGTTGCTACTCATGTGGCATCTTACGAGCTCCTTTGTCTGTGGCCTGTTATTACACGAAGGCCCAGAAGAACCCGTTGTGCCACGTTCTTGGAGACCAAGCTGAGGTGAAGGGGAGCATGGGAAGCAATCCCTGGGAGCTCTGAGGACGGGAGAGTCAGATCTGCCTTGTGGTGATGAAGAAGCCCGAGACAGGTGACTGGGGAGCCGGTTTACAAGCTCTGGAGTCGGCCCTGGAGTCGGAGAACCAGTGAGCCAAGCTCCTGCTGAAAGGACAGAACGGGGCTGATAACCGTGTTCCTAACTCCTCTTCAAGCAGAAGCCATAGAATGTATCAGTTGCTCAGCCAGCCCTTATCTCAGCCAATAGGAACGCAAGGAAACTAGCCCAAGGCCAAAAGTATGCTAGCCACCTCCTGTCTTTGTGTAACCAGACCCTAACTGCACCCTACCCTTGCGTCATTAGCCCCCGGCCCTCACTCAGCCAACCGGAATCGGCCAAATCAGTGGTCCGAGTGAGCCCCCACCCCCTGACCCAAGCCCTATAAATTCTTTGTTTTTCCAAGACTCCGGGCTCTCTTGCTTCCTGTCACTCCACTGTGTCAGTGAGGGAGGCAGAGGGACCAAACTAGCTAGTTTGAATAAATGACTCTTTGCTTTTGCATCGGACTCGGCTCCCTGGTGGTCTGTCTTTGGGGATTTTGAAATCTGGGCATAACATTTGGGGGCCCGTCCGGGATTCCCAAGACCCACTAGGGACCCCACTCCGGAGGGTCTGCTAACCGCGGTAAGTGTCTGTGTGTCCTCTGTTCTGTTCTGTACGAGCTCGCTTCTGTAATCTGTGCCTGATAAAGATCTAAGTGGACGCACGGGTGGATCTCAGGCAGGAGGAGTCAGGGGACGCCTTGGCCCTCCGTCTGGAGGGGTGTAAAAACCCCTCACGAGGGGAGTGGACTCCCCTCAAACCTCTGAACCTCTGGGACGTGGCGGGTCGCTCCCGCTGATTGGCAAACGGCCATCGTCCAGTTTTCTTCCGTGGGGGCGGAAGGCTGTTCTTAAGTGTCTTTGTCTGTCTGGTGTCTGTGTTCTTTTGTCTAATTTTGTGGACTCACTGGACGGACGTTATGTGACAGACTCAAACTACTCCTCTAAGCATTATGGTCATTTTAAAGTCAAGGGCTGGGCCAAACCTGCTCGCCAGCCTCAGGTGTGGTTTCCCAGAACTGCTGGGAACTTGGGACCTTGAAGCTTACTGAATTCAAATGATAAAAAAAAAAAACTTATGTCTTGCATTTTTGAAGTTTATTCTTAAAAATGTTACTGATTGAGAAATGCTGAATATTTGACTTGCCAGCTAAAAGTTTAAGGTTCAAACTGAATTGGGAAAAATTGTATGTTATGGTAGCTGAATGCCTTTGCTGAATGAATATCTGATGAAAGAGTATAAATGTGGAGGAGGGAGCCTGCCCTCTCCGCTCCTTTGTGTGGCTTCACAACTTTGGTCAGGCAGGCATCTGAGTGAGGATCTGTGAAAATGGGTCACCCCCTCCCTTGTCTGTCTCTCGTCACCGATCATCATGAGGTCGGGACAAAGTAAACCTGCTATTCTTAATTACATGTTAAAAAATTTTAAAAGGGTACAATAGAGATTGTGGAATTGGAATGAATGCTGAAACATTGAGGAAGCATGAGTGGACAGCTGTTTGTTTGTGTGGGACTAGCCAATTTGCTGCCGAGAGGAGGCACTGGATGCAGTCTTAACTCCTCCGGTAGGTTCTCACCAAAACGTTGGTCGAGAATTCTGTTCTGGGACATGGGTGCCAGGAGTGCCCCCACGCCCGTCTGGGGAGTTGGGCATTGTTTTGTTTATCTGCTCAGCTCCAGTCTGGGCTAGTCTACTAAGAGAGTGTGAATACAAATGTTTTGTCTATTGGCTGCTCATTACTAGTCTGTGTAAAGTGAAAGTTACTTTGATTTATTTTGCATTTCTGTTAATTCATCTGGCTGAAGGTTTAGGCTGGACCCCGAAATAGTCTGCAAAATCTCTTAGCAGCTGCGAGAATCATTTTTGTTCTCAGAGTCTTTTGCTCACTATTAAAGGGGAATCCGCCCACTTAGTTAATATAAATTTCTATCAGTTGCTCTCTCCTGGGTTGTAAATTCGCTGTATTAAATTGAAATTTTGAAGTTCTAGGATAGAGTTAAAAGCTGGCTAAATTCCAAGATTGCTTGTAAGAAAAGCAAGAGAGAAGTCTTTTCAAATTAACTGTTTGCTTAGCAAATTAACAAAGTAGCAAATTTCAAAGAACTTGTTATTCATGGTTTTCTTTTCTCTTTAGTGGACAGCTCCGCAGGTCTCGGAGAGATTTACTGCCTGTGACTGTATTTTGTTTAACTTGCTGTTTTCAATTGGTCTTTCCCTTCCTCCCTCATCCTGATTCTGAAAGCATCTGTAACTGAATGTTACAGATGCACCCGTTATATTTCCAGGCCGACTCTGTGAGGAAAAGCAATCGGGCCTGGGCTGAGAGAAAGGGGGTGGGGGTGTTGGCAGTTAAGTTACTGGCTGCAGACCTAACAGGTCTTATCAATGAACTTCAAGGCCACAAGAAGTAACTGTAAACAATGTAGTCTTTCTCTGCCCTGGGTTATTCTTTTTAACCCTTCCAATGCTAAATTAGACCAATACCTGTTCTTAGTTTGATCACAAAAGGTCTAGATATATCTTAAAAGTAAAAATACATTTAAAATGTATTAAAACCCGCAGCCGCCCTGGTGATTTAGAACTGTTTGCCAGGCAGACTCAGCCCCTGAGAGCCAGGTCAAAGAAGCGGGGGGGCTGAATGCCTGAGCTGCCCGCAAGGCCCTGAAGCCCCTGGTGGAGAAGAAGCGGCGTGTGTGCAGATCAACGAGAGCCTACAGGAGCTGCAGCAGCTGCTGGCGGGCACCGAGGTGCTGGAGCTGACGGTGCTGCGGGTGCTGCAGGGCAGGGTTTGTGGGTGCGAGCAGCTGCAGGCAGAAGCCAGCAAGCGCTTCGCTGCAGGCTACATCCAGTGAACCCCCTGCTTGAGTCCATACCACTGTGAAAGGGCAGTGGCTTCCGAGATTTGCTGGAGGACGCTCTGGCTGGGCCCCGGGAGACCCTAGGTGGAGCAGCTGGCTCACAGGAGGGGCTGATATCCCCTTCAAGTGCATTCCCTTGAAAAAGGCCTGGTTGCTGCTCTGCCACAAAGGGAACTGGTAGAGAGGCAAGAAAGCAGAGCCCTAAGAGTTAACAAAAGGGCACTCTCCCTAGACCCGGGAGCCATCAGGACTTTAAAATTCTCCAAGAGAGGAGGAGTCTGACTCAGAGACTGGCCGAAACCTCATTGGGTTAGAAGAACCAGAGGCTGCATATTGAACTTGTAGACTGCAGTTTGCTGGGCAGAGGTCCAAGCCCAGTTATATAGAGGTTAAACTACCTGTGTACAACAAAACAACTTTCTCCTGTGCCAGAATACATTTTAAGAAAATTGAATGCATGATAGACCAATAAGCTGGGAGCAAATGCTTTGCATTTGCCTCCCTAAACAAAGGTTAAATCGTTTATGTCAATCTGATTAGTGTCATTTGTTGTCCACACCCAAGGACAAATGAAGTTAAAAAATAAGCCTTATTTTGATTAATTCTTTTATTCAGGAGGAGCCAACCCGGTCCCTCCCTGCAACATGAATGATAAAATGTATATTAAGGAATTTTAAAATTGCTCAAACCTCGCTGCCTTGGGTCCAGTTCTGCGTATGTAAGAAGAGACAGAGTAAAGTTTAGTAGCAGAAGTAAAGAGGCAGGCAGGGCAGAAGCAGGCCAGAAGAAGGCAAGGCCATCCAAACCACCCAGCCGCTATTGGCCAGAGCCGCCTGAGGCAGACCTCCTCGGACTGGCAGCAGCTGATACCGACTAGGACAGACTGGGCTTTTTCCAACTGGGCTCCCATGAGCCGATGGTCAAAATGAAGATCGGGGGCCAGACTGTGAACTTTATGGTTGATACAGCAGCAGAGCACTCGATAGTTACTCAGAAGGTAGTTCCCCTCTCAGGACAGGAAGTCACCATTATTGGAACTACTGGTACCACAGCTGCAGACGGTTCTGCTGCCCCTGCCAATGTCAGTTAGGCGGCCATCAGGTGGTTCATGAATCCCTATATTTACCAGTTGACCTGGTCCCTCTAATGGAAGCAGAAACCATTTTGCCCCAGATGGCTCAGCACAGCCTTGCCTAGGTGAAGAGACCTCTCCAATAATCCTGTCCTTAGCAGTGCCGAGAGAGGAAGAATGAAGACTTTATACCCCCCCAGCCAAAGGCCTCCACATCTGTTCTTGTCAGGCCACCATCAGGGGACTTGGGCAGTGTTCCTGTTATCTGCCAAAATTCCCAAGACTGTAAAAGTACTTGTTCACTGAAAATGTATAAATGTAAATGTTTATTTAATGTTTATATATCTACTTAGATATAAATACTTATAAATAAATAAAAACCCCGGTTAGTTTCCTGGTGTATTCTGGAGCAGCCTATTCAGTCTTGACAGAGCCAATGGGACCAATAACATCTAAGAAAACATCGAGAAGACACCGGTTCTAAGAGCCACCGGACAAACTGCCTTTTTCCTTGGACATCAAAGAGGACTGTGGACCTCAAAAAGAACACGGTAACTCATTCGTTTCAAGTCATGCCAGAATGCCTGTACCCCTTACTTGGACGTGATCTCTTACAGAAATTACAAGCCACCCATAAGCTTGTTCAAGATGCCCTGCCAGTGCCACCTCGGACTCTGTACATCCTTTCCAGCCTGAGGACTCAATGTGGATAAAGAAGTTCACGACTCCAGGACTCACCCCAACTTGAAAAGGACTATACCTGCAGAAAGTTGTATAATAGACTGAGATGATGCCTGCATCTTCATAGACATGGCTTCAGAAAGACAAGGACAATTTAACCTTATATAGAAAGGTCAAAGAATGGACTTTAGTCACCTCCCTAAAATGTTTGTATAGCCCTGCCATATCTCATGTTTAGTAGCGGATGATTTGGCTGCCTGAAGCGGCCATGATGCCAATATTATGTTTCATTGTATTAATATGTTATATTAACCTTTGATTCTCTTACAGGTTTAAATGTAGCTGAAGCTGTGGACCGGTGATGGTCTACAGTCCTTGGTAGTCTTTGGAAATAACTGGCAAGTGTCCAGTCTCCCACACTGAGGAACATTGTTATAGCTATGTGTTAGCGGTCCTGAAAGGGGACTATGTGGGGTGAACCCCAAGAGTAGAGGGTGTCTAGCTGCCAAGAGGGCAGATGCCCAACTGGGCAAAGAAGAATACCCATCAGGTTTTGGTCTCTACTAAGAGACAGCTAACAGTTGGCAGCCTATACTGTCAGGGGTGGTACAAATCTCAGCTGTAGAGAGCTGGGAAAAGCCTATTTGGAATAAAAGGTCTGAGGCATGGTTGTGCATTTATAAGAACATAAAAGAAGGTTTAAAGGCTAATCTGAAAGTATAAAATTTAGAAAGAAGAAGAAAAACGTTAAAAAGACTAACAAGAAAAATCAGAAGATCTTAGAGCAGATCAGTATGTTTTTCTCCTTATATAATTCCTCTGAAATCTGGCAATGCTTAATAAGTCATGGCAATACATTTCTTTGCATGAAATCAATAAGACCGGTTTTTAATCGTAATTTTATTAACCGAAAACTTTGACTGGAATATCATGTTTTAAAGAAACCTGTCTGAGCTCTGAAGACTTAAAGCCAATAAGAGTGCCACAGGAAAAGCCTGGTATCCTGCTTGGGAGCCCTGAAGATGGCTGGCGCTGGAGCGTCAGGCCCATGCCCTACCATCACTAGCGGTTGGTAAGAGTAGAAGGGGAGCAATAAGGATGCCTCTGCATCCCTGCGGAACCCCCACTCACTCTGGGCCGCAACAAGTAGGAGGGCTACTAAGATGGACTTAAAGCCTAGAGCATGGGCTCAGGTGGAGTTGCTACAGGTGAGGGATTCACCTACCTCAGTGGATGCTGCAGGCAGGCCTGATGGCGACTGAATGGCTTGGCTTCCTGGCCCTACGGGGCACGTTAAGATTCAGTCATGAAATTCCAGCAAAGGTAGTCAGTTACCATTCTTGTTGTGTTTATGCAAACATCAGGCCAAATTAAATACAATAGATAAATTAATATTAATTTGGCTTTTTGATAGCCATAGAGAAATTTTAAGAAGAAAAATCCTATTTCAATAGAGGTTGTTAAAGCTAAAATGGTTTCTTTCCCTTCCACCGGACCATTTGTTATAGTTTGTCTCTGCCAGGTCACAAGCCCAGCTCCTTCTGTGCCCAGGACAGCAGGGAGCCTGACTGGAAGGTGACCTCTGAACAGACACACCTGCTGCAGATCACCCTCAAGAAGACAGCGGACCTCGGCAGACCCCTTATAATCCTCCTGATGCTGTTGACTTTCGGCCCTTGCATTATTAACAGACTAGCCCAATTTGTCAAGAAGTGTATAAAAGTAGTTCAGTTGATAGTTCAGTCCGTCTCATGATTGAGCCGGAAGTTCCAAGACAAGGGGGGAATGAAAGGACAGAACGGGGCTGATAACCGTGTTCCTAACTCCTCTTCAAGCAGAAGCCATAGAATGTATCAGTTGCTCAGCCAGCCCTTATCTCAGCCAATAGGAACGCAAGGAAACTAGCCCAAGGCCAAAAGTATGCTAGCCACCTCCTGTCTTTGTGTAACCAGACCCTAACTGCACCCTACCCTTGCGTCATTAGCCCCCGGCCCTCACTCAGCCAACCGGAATCGGCCAAATCAGTGGTCCGAGTGAGCCCCCACCCCCTGACCCAAGCCCTATAAATTCTTTGTTTTTCCAAGACTCCGGGCTCTCTTGCTTCCTGTCACTCCACTGTGTCAGTGAGGGAGGCAGAGGGACCAAACTAGCTAGTTTGAATAAATGACTCTTTGCTTTTGCATCGGACTCGGCTCCCTGGTGGTCTGTCTTTGGGGATTTTGAAATCTGGGCATAACACTGCCAGACCTGAACACCGTGGCTTCTGCCAACAGTGACACGACAGACAGACCTCGGGTTACGTCGGACTCGACGAACGTCGTTTCATGGTTACGTCGCCATCTCCAGTTTATTTATAAAAAAAAAAGTTCCGTCATTTCGACGTATGTGGAGTAGAACACAAAGAAACCGAGGCATGCGATGAACCCGGGAAGAGAACAGAAGGTCCCGAACTCTTTTTCTTTAAAATAGAGACGGACTTACCTTGTGCGTAATGCAGGGAGATGGCGCTGGACTTCATGGTGATGCCCCGGATCTGCTCGTCCTCCCGGCTGTCCATGTACCGTAACTGTGGGCACAAACAGAGGCACCCTTACTGCCCGCGGGACGGAACCGTCACGGTCAAGTGGAATGATTGGGCTTTTGCGTTAAGTGTTTACTTTAAAAAAAAATACATTTTTATTGATGTCAGAGAGGAAGGGAGGGGAGAGGGAGAGAGAGAAACATCCATGATGAGAGAGAATCATGGATCGGCTGCCTCCTGCACACAGCCCCAGTGGGGATCGAGCCCACAACCCGGGCCTGTGCCCTGACCCGGAATGGAACCTTGACCGGGATTGGAACCCTGACCTCCTGGTTCCTAGGCCGACGACGCTCAGCCCCTGAGCCACGGCGGCCGGGCTTACGTGCTTACCTTTTAAACGAAAGCCCCTTTGGGCTTTTTTAAGGGGGAGGGATGGAGAATGTTAGTTTGTCATGGGGAAGAGAACACAGACAAACTGAAGACGTGAACTAGTTTGCAAATGCAGTCAGACCACACACAGCCTCCCCTCGGGCTGCTCATTCAGAGTCCAGCCGTGAACGAGGTGGTCCTGAGCCGTTCACAGAAGGCAGCCTGGGGGCATGTTCTTCCATTCACCAAGAGCACGGCCACTCTTTCCCCTTCACAGGCTCACTGACAAAGTCTGAACAGACATCCCAACAGCGCTTAAAAGCTACCAACGACCTCTGGCCAAACACACCAACCTTGTCAGCCCTCACTCTTCTTGGTCAGGGCATTAGACACACCTAAGGGAATTACCTTTGATGCCTGTGTGAGCTCTGCATATGTGTGCGCTCTGCACATATGTGCTCTGCACATGTGTGCGCTCTGCACATGCGTGAAAATCTCCCATCTCCTGGTTTCCTGTCTGCCTCTCCCTGGTCCCACTCCTGGCTCCTCTTCACCTCTCCAACTTCTCAGAAAGGCCTTCCTCCAGCCCTGGCCAATGTGGCTCAGTGGACAGAGCGTTGTCGGCCCGCAGACTGATGGGTCCCGGGTTCAATACCGGTCAAGGGCACTCACCCGGACTGCAGACTGGATCCCCAGTAGGGGGTGTGTAAGAGGCAGCCAATCCGAGATTCTCTCTCATCATTGATGTTTCCATTGCCTTCTCCCTCTCCCTTCCTCTCTGAAATTAAAAATATATTTTAAAAAAAGAAAGGCAGGCCTTCCTCCAAAAAGTCTCGTTCTCTTGTTATTCTATACTAGAGGCCCGATGCACAAAATCCGTGCAAGAGTAGGCCTTCCGTCCCCTGGCTGCCGGCACCGGACTCCCTCCGGCCGCCGGCAGGCACCCAGGACTCAGGCTTCCCTCGCAGCCCGGCTTTGTCTGGAAGGTCATCCGGAAGGACATCAGGTCTAATTAGCATATTATGCTTTTATTATTATAGACTAGAGGCCTGGTGCACAAATTCGTGCACAGGTGAGGTCCCTCAGCCTGGACAGCGATTGGGGCTTATCGGGGCCTGCAGGCCGGGGAAGGAACCACGGGAGGTTGGCTGTGGGAGCGCACTGACCACCAGGGGGCAGCTCCTGTGCTGAGTGTCTGCCCCCTGGTAGTCAGTGCGTCGTCATAGCTACTGGTCCACCGGTTGTAAAGGTGGCTTAGGCTTTTATATATATAGATGTGTACATTTCTTCTTTCAGTCTTCTATGTGTACTTTTTTGATTCTATTTTGCTTCTCCATCTCCCCTTCTCTCTGTTCCCAGTCACCTGACGCATCCTGCTGGCTATATTCTAAACTCGTTAAGGCGAGGAACATCGCTATTTTGGTATTTTTTGTTTTTGTTTTTTTTAAATACATTTTATTGATTTTTTACAGAGAGGAAGGGAGAGGGATAGAGAATCAGAAACATCGATGAGAGAGAAACATCTATCAGCCGCCTCCTGCACGCCCCCCACTGGGGATGCGCCCGCAACCAAGGTACATGCCCCCGACCGGAATCGAACCCGGGACCCTTGAGTCCGCAGACCGACGCTCTATCCAGCGAGCCAAACCGGCCAGGGCAACATCGCTATTTTGTATTGCAAGTAAGTTATTCCCCGTCCTTTCATAGTGCAGCCGGAAACGAAGATCTCTTGAATCCCTTCCTAAAACATGATGTCCATCACGACCCACAGGCTGCAGAAGCTGTCCTGAGGCACGTCGCTGAGCCTTGAAGGTCTGCGATCATGATACGCCCTCTACCAGTTCGTGTTCTCTCCTGGAGGTGTAGATGCCAATCTTCCACTCACATCAAGCAGACCTCGCAAAGGAGCCTTTTCCCGTGTTATTTTCCCCCCGGTTGAGGCTTTCTTTGCTTTCCCCTCAAACCACCTCACCCGTCTGGGAAAACGGCCACAACTGTGCCAGGATATCGCCTGACGCATGGCGCTTACAGGATCGCTAAGCACACAGCAGACGTTCATCACACCATAGATGGCTGCTACTTGCTGAGACGCAATAAGTGTTCATCCCCTGCAACTACATACCTTGCCTGCCAGGCGGCTGGAGATGATTCCATTGCTGGATATGAGGCAGTCGGCCAGGGTAGTTTTGCCTGTGAAAATAACAGTATTAATTTAAATCTATTTATTTATTTATTTATCTTTTATTTTTAATAATAATAATTATTATTTTTTAATCCTCACCCCAGGATATTTTTCCATTGATTTTTAGGGAGAGTGGAAGAGAGAGGGATAGACAGAGAGAAACATCTTAGTGAGAAAACACATCAATGGGTTGCCTCCTGCACGTGCCCCGACCAGGGCCCGGGCTGGGGAGGAGCCTGCAACCGAGGTCCGTGCCCTTGACTGGAATCGAACCTGGGATCTTTCAGTCCGCAGGCCGACGCTCTATCCACTGAGCCACACCGGCTGGGGCTAACTCCTGAGTTTTAAAAACTCAAATTCTCATTTAGAAAACAAGGCAACAATTTGGGGCGGTGTGGCTCCATGGTTGAGCATCGACCTATGAACCAGGAGGTCAGGGTTCGATTCCCCGTCAGGGCACATGCCCGGTTTGCAGGCTCCATCCCCAGTGGGGGGCGTGCAGGAGGCAGCCAGTCCATGATCCTCTTTCATCATGGATGTTTCTCTCTCTGTCCTTCTCTCTTCCTCTCTGAAATTTAAATAGATTAGATTAGATAGATAGATAGATAGATGATAGATAGATAAGATAGATAGATAGATAGATAGATAGATAGATAGATAGATAGATAAAAAACAAGGCAACACGCCAGAATGCAAATCACTGGGCAGCTGCCTTGATTTGCAACGTTTCACCGCGCATGCTCGCGTCTGGGACATCAAAGGCAGGAAGTCCCGCCCCTCACACGGGA